CTTCTTCTATTCCTCTTCTTCTCTGTTTCTGTTGCTGCTGTTGTTGCTACTCCTACTAGCGGGTAACGCTAAGGGAGAGAAGCAACAAAGAAGACGCCGACTGCACGCGAGGGTGGATTCCGATCTTCTTCCACTCAGAGCCACTGCTTCGACCATGGCAATAAGTTCGACAAAGAAAGAAATAGAAAATGAAGATGGAGTTTGGATGAAGCAATAACGATTATCACGAGGAAAGAAATCATTCTTCTTTCTCTAACTCTCCTACCACCCATTCCAACATTTATAATATTTTTTTCAATATCAATGATCTTTCGGTACAGAAATTACACATATATTCTCACGAATTCAAAGAGGTTCTGGTATCTAAAAGAACGATCAAAAGAAAAAGAAAGAGACGTTTGGGTTTTGTATTCAGGTTCGAAGGTCATATCAAGAGATTGCTTTCTCTCTAAATAAAATTTGAAAAAAATGTGAGAGAAAAAAAATATAAAAAAAGAAGAAGAGGACGCGTATTCGGTGGTGGAGTCGGCGGATGATCACACAGAGGTGTGCCGCCTTGTTGGCGCAGGAAACGGAAACTGGCGGAAACAAAGACTCGACAAACAGACGGCTTCCCGTAGGGAATGTTACCAGGGCAAATAGTGCGCGCGAGTTTGGGTCTACCTAGCGCTATCGCTTCTCTTCCTTTACCTCGAGCTCTTCCTTCCTTTGAGCCCAGGCTCGCGACAAATATTGTCACGAGTTCTCACCCTCTTTCTTCCTAACAACGAAAAATAAAAAAAATCCTACCTTGTTTCACGATATCTCCTTCGAAGTACTGATAGATTAGGTACTTAGTTACCTACTCCTAGAAATGGTACTGCAAACGTTCCTTTCTCTAACTTCCCTACTTTCTCCTTTATTTTTCTTTTTTATCTTCCTATCTGTCTTTTTGAAAAGATAACGAGATGAAAACTGATCGGACCATTTCTATTCGCTTTATTTACATTCTTTTTCGAAAGAAAAACGTTTATTAAAGTATAATTTTTATTTTACAGTACTGTATCTTATTAATACTGTAATATAATTAATAATATTAAATAAAATAATTTTTAAACAAAACTGTAATCACTAAAATCAAATATTTGAATACTTTTGATTATAATACTTATAATATCATAGTTCTCGTGTTAAAAAAAGAAAAAAAAGAAAGAACAACCCTAACACAGGTATCTATAATCTTCCTGTTTAGAAATACTTACAATATATTTCTAAATAAGGGTTATCCCCCTTAGTAAGATATAAAAGGACATAGGACAAAACCACGAAGAATCTTGGACATCTTTGAATCTTTGAGCTCTGGCAAAGCGCCGCTTCTTTCATATATACCTATCCATATACCTATCCATATACATATATAAATACATACTTATATACATATGTAAAAGACATGTAACGTTCCGGCCGCAAATCTACGAGCGACTTAAGCTTTATTGCGAGTGCCGTAAAAGCCGAGCACGGTTTTCGACTTGTTGTCCATGCCGCCTCATCCCCTTCATTATCTTCCACGAACAGGACACATTTATACACACACATATAGAAATATATATTTTTAAATCACTTTCTTTGATTAATCGATTAAACAAAAATATTGAAGAAATGTCTCGGAAAAAACAAATATTTGATAATTTATAAAATATATGAATAATATTTGTGTCAATAGTAGAACATACATAGGTACTTATACGTGTCTGTACAAATATTTTTTTTTTTTATAAATATAGTTCTTTCATGATAAATTGATATAAAATTAATAATAAAAATAAATTATATAATTAAATAAGTATATTTAAAAAATTATATATATAATAAATTACATATTATAAAAATAAATTAAATATATAAATATATTATATATATAAAATTAAAAAAAAATTAAATATTAAAATTATAATATATTAAATAAATATTTAAAAAATAATAAATATATAAAAAATAAATATGGTGGAAATAATTGGTGTGAACGTGAATTTCGAAGAAGAACAGGCAGCTGAAGATATAATAAAGATGTATCTGTTGGAACAATAAGGTGCGGCATTTCAACGAACGAAGTATCGTGTTATTAATAACGCTAATAACACCCAACACTAATCTCGTCAACTAATCTTGTTGTTTCACGATAAGGAGAGGAGTATAATGACAGGTATCGTCGTTATAATCCATCTAGGTGTGTTGTACTCGGTTGTCATCTTCTTCTTCTTCTTTGTCATCGTCTTCGTCATAATACGTGAATAAAAGAAAAATATTACTTGTAAAATAAAAAAAATGTACAAAAGCACATTTTACAAGACAACATTGTAATAATTTTTAAGCGGAAGAGATAATGTGTCTACTACGCGAGTTTTGTACAACCAACAATTATTCTCTCTCTCTCCATCTCTCTCTCTCTCTCTCTCTCTCTCTTCTCTTATCCATAAATTTCTTTCATTTTATGATTTTATTTTTTTTTTGTTTTTTTTTTTTATATTTATAGACATCTTTTTCTATGTGTCATTCTTGAAATTAATGCGAGAAAATAAAATTTAAAAAAAATTTGACTTTTATTGTCGATTTAAATATACGTTCAAGGATTCTTATAATAAAAATTAGCAACGTTAGGTTGTTAAATCGTGTAAAAGATTTAAAAAAAAATAAAATAAAATAAAAGTAAGGAAAGATTTAAGAAAACAAAAAAAAAGGAAAAAAGTAGGTTGAAAATATTAGAAGTACCGAAAAGTAATGGTCGTTACTACGCATGTCAAATTATTTCTAATAATTTTAAATGAAAAAACTACGATATTAAAAATTTGCATACCAGATAGAAAAAGGTGATTAATTAATTTAGTTAATTAATTTAAAATAATTAATTAATAATAAAAATTTATTTGAAAAATTTATTTGTTTGAATTTTGAGGTTAAAAAGCTATAATTTGGTAATACACGAATATCCTAAGCAACGTCTCGTTGTTGATTCATGTAAAAAATTAAAAAAAAAATAAATAAAATAAGATAAAAATAAGGGGGATATATTGATTCTAGGAAACCAAAAGAACAGAAAAAAAAAACAAGAAGAAAAGAAAAAATGTAGGTTGGAAATATAAACTCGGATGCGCTCTTAATACACGAATATCCTTTAATACGTTCTCCTCGTGCCGTAAAGTTAATAACGCTTTTACAACTCTATCTTCTTCTCTCTCTCCCTCTTTCTCTCTCTCTCTCATTCTTTAAAACATACACACATTAAAGGTGAAAACGTAAAGTTGCGAGGAGCATATAGTTTACACGCAGATGACTCGTTTCTCGTTTCGTTCGCGCGACCCGCTCGCGTTGGGATTTGCTTTCGTCGCTTTACTGGATTTACCGACAGACACTTCACGCTCGGTGAAACACGCCCATGTTTGACTTGGCTTTTGAGTTACGCCGAAATTTTCAGAGAAAGATGCCGACAGACGTACACACATATATATATATATATATATACGCATACAACAACGATGTGTCTTGGGCGAACTTATCATCGTCCTGTCTCTTTCTATCTCTCTCTCTCTCTCTCTCTCTCTCTCTCTCTCNTCTCTCTCTCTCTCTCTCTCTCTCTCTCTCTCTCTCTCTCTCTCTCTCTCTATCCATCTCTCTCACTCTTTCTAACGACACACTACGACATTACTCAACGCACGCGTTGCAATGCGAGTGAGGGAATAGATTGTTTGTCGATTTTTAGTCATCTCTCAGCACCATAAGCCCGTCGACGACGTGCTGCACCAAGAAACGATCGTAAAGTTCAAATGCCTCTTATTCCGTACGAGGAACACGGAGAACAACTTCTCCCAAATTTTTACTCCATTATTTACAGGATCTCGAATAAAGTTGTTACTCATAAATGATCTCAATCTCCTGGATGCAACGTTTAAAAAAAAAGAAGAAAAGAAAAACTCGCACGCGAATTAAAAATTGTCTTTTCTTTAATCACTATTGTAAAAAAAACACGATTTTTATACGACGCCATTTTTTAATATAACCTCGTAATTTATGTCATGATTTCTATTAAATTATTTTATTTTAAATACATTATAATTATATTTTGAATAAATATTTGAATTTATATTTTTTTTCGAATTTCATTAGTATAGATATAATCAATTGTCGTACTTACATCGCCATCTAGCGTTCGATCCAGCTTCGATGTAACTCTTATGCACCCGGTATTGCATATCAGCAGGTAAATATATTCACATAACCCGTACCGTCATCTAGCGTCTAACGTCACGTCTATTTATGCACTGCCTGCTTACACATAAGTGTACCCTCGGATATGACTTGCAGCGCCACCTTGCGTTTAGCTTAACGTCGATACTCGAGATATTATATCGATGCAACTTGTGCTGATATCTAACGGTGAATATTGGAACTATTCTTGATTTAGTGTTCCCATTGATAGGCAAAATTCGTACATGCGTGTATAGGAAAACCCAAAAGCCTACCTGGGTTATACGTCATAGAATAGTATTGGATATGTCATTTTGAAAAATGTTGCAAGATTACGTGGGTGAATAATTTTCTTAGAATTTATCAATCATCTCACACATTATTATCACATAATTAGTTAATTGATAATTATTTAACATTAATTATTTTCATGTTCCTTTATATCATATAAAACATTTTTGTTCGTATGATATTATTTAACAAAAAAAAAAAACAATAGTTTGCATTCTTATTAACAATAGATGGGTAGATAATATTTTGTAAAAATAATGAAAAGAGAAAAATCTTTATCGTAGTATCATAATTGTGGCCACCCTGTGTAAAACAACTGACGTTAGTATCCTTCGTTACTAAAAATAGTGGTACACGAACATGGTGTCTATTGGTTTGACGTTTCAATCATTTTTTATGTTTAGTTTTCAAAAGTATGACAGAAATTTATTCTAATAGATATTAATCGATTTTATTATAATCGATAATTTGATAATCGGTGTCATAATTTATTATATTATCTATCTCGCATGTTGTCTTTTATCATCATGAAACACATAATTTGCATTACATTTTGTTTTACAAAATATTCCTGCATTTTGAATGAGATAAAAAGTGATTGTTATGTTTAAAAAAAAATCAAAATGTTGGATATTTTTACAGTATGGGCATATACTTCGTTTGTCTCATCGAACGAAGGACATTCATCAAAAAATTATTATAATCAATCAGGTAAAAATATATTTTTATTAAAAAATCAACAATTTACATTTAACCTCTCTTTTCTGTCCAAATTTCTAATCTTTCTTTTATATTAGAATTTTTTTATGTTTTATTATTTTTTTATATATATTATTTATTTATACATTATTTAATATTTTTATTGGTTAAATAAAGAAATAATGTTATCAAAATGGAATATATGTTGTTGTTGTTGAATAATTTCTTACATTTAATACACTGTGTAATTCTCATGCATAAGACTGTAGACCATAGACAAGTCAATAGGTTATATATTTAAATTTGTTGCGTCAACTCAGAATAATAATTGGTTAAATGATAAGTCAAAATTAAATATTCCATTTAAAACACCACTTACATTATTACATAGAACAAAAATGTCCATTTATAAATAAAGATATATATATATATATATATTTATATATATTATTTGAATTTCAGAACTCTGAGAAGAAGTGAATTGATCAGTGGTTTGTTTCTCTGCTTCCAATATGTGTGTGAAAAGATAACTTAAAATGAGGTTCAACAAACAAGAATTATTAACGTTGGCAACTCAGCCATCTCAAAAATTTGAAAAGGAAGGTGTTTTGTATGTTCGAGAACGACAAGAAGGATTTTTTCGCAGAACTGAGAGTGAGTTGTCGTAAACATTTTTTTGTCAACATTATTATTAATGTTATGCGCATATTGCAATGTCCTGCAACTCTATATTCTAGCATATAGAGATGTGCATGATTTCTGTCCCTTAATTTAATTATTATACATATATATATAGACATATATGTATAAGTCATCATAAGCGTATATAAATAAATCTGAACAATATAAAAAAATATATCATTCTATTATACAATAACATAATAATCTTTGATGTTACATTGTAAGCGCAGTTGATTATTCTAGTTAATATTTTTATAGATATTTATATTATTATTATTATTATGCATTAATTCATTGTTACCCATTTATTTAATAAATATATATATTTATATATATATATATATACTATATTATCAAGCATGAACGAAATCGCATACTATTTATTGTAAATTTATGATTTACATAGTAATTACCAGTTTCTTGTTATTGATCAATTATTTTGAATGGATGTAATGTAATGATTTTTAAAATGAATCAAGAAAATATGCTTAAAAATATGCTTGCAATGTGTGACAAATGAATATATATATATTATATATTATATATTTAATAATGTATTTCATAATTTCAGATATTGTAGTTCTTAGAAATTTTCTTAGAGTATTATTTTGTTCTTTTAGATAATAAATGCATGTATTACATTTCAAAGTTGCTGAAAATAATTTATTATTCTATTATCAATATATAATTTATATACAAAAAATTGACTGTATTCTTTACTATAGTACATCAGTCAATAATAATAATAGTATTTTATTTTTTTAGGTATATAATAGTCATTTAGAGTTTCCCTATTTGTTTTTTTTTTTACATCATAAAAAAACGATAAAAAAGAAACTTCGATGCACTAATCCTAGTAAATAATGCTTATGAAAACATTCATTTATAAATAAAAGTAAGAACTTCAAATCTCTCTCTATGCGTGTTAACATTTAATATTTCCAAATGATCAGCTACTGACACAATTCTTTTTAATTCAGATTGTATAAAATTGTTTGAACTTAAACCATAGAGCAACTTTTCAAATAAATTTAATATAAAAATAAATATATATATATATATATATATATATAATTTATTTTATATTATATATTATTATTATTATTATTTTATATTATATATTATTATATTATTATTAATATATATATATATAATTTCTAGGAACTAGTATGCAATGTCATTAATTACTCGCATATGGTATTTTACTAACAACAACAAAATGATAACATCTTTAAGCTCATTGTAAAATTCATACTTAACAAAAAAAATTCTATTCCTTTCTTAACTTAGGGTTGTACAAGTTATTAAATATAACAAAATGATTTCTTATCAAGTTATAAAATAAAACTTGTATATTAAAAATAGAACAATATATATCTTGATTCATATGATGAATTAAAATCCTGAGCACTTACTTATCCCCCTTAAAAACAAGTAGATTTATGTTATGCATTTAACATATGAAATACACACAGATACATATGTATGTATACTTAGATCTTTGATTAATGATTACCAGTACCTCCATACAATTTCCAGGTACAGGTAAAAATCTTGAGAACAAAAGACAAAAAGGAAAAACACATAAGACTCTACGAGACCTCAGTTGCGTTACAGCCAGCACGAGTAAAGGTACATTCGAGTGCATTTTACCATTATGTATCACAATCATCATCTACCATAACATACCTCTCTCTTGTCTAACTAATAATATTCCCAATTATAGTCTACAATTGATACCTTTGACTATTGGTATTAAAAAAAAAGATAAATTATACAATAATTTGTAAATTCATTTTGTGTTTTTTGTTTTATTTTGTTGTTGTCTTTTATTGGACGAAACTTGAAACGATAAACAATTATTTGTTTTTCTTTTTTATTTTTTTTATTCAAGAAACTTTTTTTGATATATCCAAATATATTTAGAAATATTATATCAAAGTGTTCAAATAATGTAAATTAGTTTCACATATTTTGCTTTAATGATTTTTAATAATTTTTTTTTCATTTGTAGCAACCAGTGCATGTCGTAAATAGAAATCATGCTTATAAAGCTTATTAGAAGAAACATATAATATTCTTGCATGTATTTAGTAAAAAGCATGTGTGATAACAGTTGGTTTGCTAAAGATTATATTTTTTCATTTTCCTTACTATTACACCCATTTATATTTAAGCTAACTATTTAATCAAACATTATTATTATAAATTGAACTACTATGCTCCACTGTTATTTTGTTTATATACTGTGAATTAATTATTAGAATGGGTTATAATTTAATTCTACTCACACAAGACGGTAGAGAGTAGGCTTTAATGTTTTAACACAAATGCTTCTTCACATAAAAACAAATGTAAATTTCAAAATATTTCTATGTTTTTTGATAACACCAAATTTACAATATTCGTATGAGAAAGCTCTTAGAAGAGGTGTGTGTTGATGAATATAAATAAATGTTTTAAAATAAAATCAAATTCATTTGTACCGTCTTGAAAATTATGAAATATTAATTATAAGTTTTTAAGTGTCTAGCTAAGTGTCGCCCAGAAAAGTGCTTTCTTGCAAGAATAATTGTTTTAAAGATAAAAACAACATGTTACGTCAAACATATGAGAAATTAATTATATATATATATATATCTTTTTTTTTCTATGATTTGTTCCACAGTAAATCTAGAACGATGGTGCAGATTAAGAGGAAACCTTTTATTTTATTTCAAATCTCGAGAACAATGGTCAGAACCTCTTGGTGTTATAATTTTGGAACAATGCTGTGTCCGATTGGATCAACCAACAAATCAAATTCCATATGGATTCAGCATAGGTAAGATTTTTAATCAACACGATATTATATTCTTTTTATAAATAAAACAAATAAGTAAAAAAGACATTGTAAATATTACTTTCAGTATTTGATGGTGGTTTGTTCCAACAATTGGGAGCTAATACTGCTGAGGAACGAGATAGCTGGTTACAAGCATTGCAATTAGCTAGCTATGAATGTATGAGAAGTCAACTTTTAGCATTGAGAGAACGCATTGAAGCTTTCAGTGGTCACAAACATGACACTGATATACATATGCTCAGGTTACAACGTGGGATTTTTACAGGTTGAAATTGACTTTGATAAATATCATGTGAAAAGATAGAAATATTTATTTATTGCAGTAATTATCTTTTAGATCCTGCAGAAATACCAATGTGCGAGGTATCACTAGCATGCGATAATCTTCTATGCGATGGACACGGCCGACCACCTAATCCTGTTTTGGAAGTAGACGTTCAATTGAAGCGTTCGAAGACATGGATCAAATATGCCCGAACAGAAGTTGTAGAAGTAAACATTTTTATTTCTATATAAAATTGTAAAAGATAGATTTGTTTGCTATTTATTTATTACTTTTATAGAGAAGCAGTAACCCAGGATTTTTAACAACCGTAAGTTTTAGAGCAAGCGATGGCCTTAGCTCTGATACGAAAGTACGAATAACAGCCTACGATGTAAGAGAAAGAGTAAGTCAAACAGCAACACCAATAGGAAGTTCAATAGTAACCTTCAACGCAATCCAAGATACTCCTAGATTGAGAATACCATTAAAATCTGCTAAAACTACTACTGTTGGGTTTTTGACTATTAATGTATGGAATCTGGAAGCCGAAGATAAAGGAAACAGTACAGAAAGTACACCTTCTAGAAATATTCCAAGTACAAACAATCAGCAGGTAGCTTGGATAAGTGTCTACAAATAATTTTTACAAACGATATTTAATAATCTATTAGGTAGTGATTATTTTTTTTTTCGTATTTTAACAATCTAACAAATTACTAATTTCACATACATCTGTAAATTTAATTAGAAAACAAAATAATAATTAAATTTATATTTATCTTGGAGTTGCAGGTTTTATCGCACAGACGGTCACAATCGTTACCTCCAAGATTAGGAACTAAAATAAAACTTCCGCATCAAGGACAATTAAAATTATTGTTTGCCAATCCATTCATTCAAACGTATAGGTGTGTAATATTACAACAAATTGTAAATTTATAATACATTCCTTTAATGAATATTTTCTAAACGTTTTATAATTTTACTATTCATAGGTTTCATTCAGGCTTAGGTGGAGATATATGTGTGCATGAAATTATGGCAGAAAGTAAATTATGCTTCCAATTTCCACAACATTTACTGTAAATGTTACTTTCTTTTAAATATACCTAGATAACTCTTTTAATCGATAATAACAAATGTGAATGATTATAGTGGAATTTGGATACAAGAGGAGAAGGAATTACTTCAAGAAGTTGCTGGTATGGGTGAATTAAGGGAACCATGGCATACAAAACAAGTTGAATTACTTGATCGTCATCTTCATCTATTACATTTATATTCACAAGCCAAGGAAAATTTAGCTGATTTTGAAGGAAGTTATTTCAAGCAATCATCTCGAAGAAATGATCGAACTTTGGAATTTGCACCTTTAAATTTACACCTTCAAAGAATGTGGGTTCATAATGATACGTTGAATAAATGTGGATTTTATGATTTTGTCAGTGTTGGTGCGTTTACTGCACATTCACATAAAAGTAAAAATGGTGGACTAATAAGGTATACTATTATCAATATTTCAATCCTAATTATTATATTAAAATAAGATATAAAAATGAAATATATTTCAGACTTGTACAAGCACTTAAAGAATCGCCAACACGAGGTAATCAATTGTATCAAGGAACTTCGAAGATAATAATGGCGCATGATGCTATTCAAGCTATCAAACAATTGAGAAGAGATGTTGTAGAAGCAATGCGTTCTTTGATGGAACTTGCCAAACGAAAGCAAACCAGTGGTATGTTACCAATTTGCGAAGATATGATAACAAAGACAAGAATATTGTTAAGTCTTTGGGATCCAGGACTTGTGGAGGAAGCATTAACTTTTCTAGAAGAACATAAGGTAGCTAAGGTTCAAGAAGAAACGAATGAAGATAGTTCATTACTAGACTTCAAAGTTAATCAATCCTTGTCTCCATTTAAACGAATCACGCAACAACTTAATTTCGACTTAAAGAGTCCTGACTTTGATGATTTCGTAACACCCGATACCACCCCAGAATGTATACAAGATAGTACCTGGGCTGAAGAAAATACCAAAAGAAATTATGCATCTTTGGCATTCAAAAATAGTATTAATTGCGACAACACTGATAATACTACTATTATTACTACAACTGCAATGAATTTTTCTTCTACTACAACTACCACTACCACTACTACTATTGCTGCTGCTACTACTACTACTACTACTACACAAGAAGGTGAAAACAAAGAAGACTTCGTTATATTTCCAGAAGTAGAAAATGATCAGGATATAAAGGAAACGGAAGCCAGGGAAAATGGCAATCACGAGGTAAGCAATAATAACGACGACGATGAAGAAAAATATGACATCAAAAAGGATACTGATAAAGGCAAACGTTTCTTGGACATGAAAAAAATGTGTAACTCTCCGTCTGCAAATTATTATAAACCGACGGACGAACCGGAACCCTGGGATCTCACACAGCTAAACATTGAAGCGAGTGTGATGTGCCTGGTATCAAAAGTCAAATTCCTTTGCGGTAGATGCAGCAGTCCAGCTGTACGTTTACGTAACAAAAATAGTTTAGGACGATCACAGAGTCTCAAGGGATGTCTGTCGAACAATCGAAACAATTCAAGTGTTGTGACAATTCAGCCTAAGAATGCGTTGCAGAGCGAAGAATCAAGTAAGTTGCTGGACAATACACACAACTCCGTCTCTCGACAGCAACCAAGTCCTCAAGGGATGGAAAAGTCGACTCCAGCTTTCTCCAAAGCCAAAGAAGGTAAAGAAATTCAAACTCATATTCACTTTATATATATATATATCATTTTTCAATACTTATTATAATATTATTAGCTCTACATGCACACATCATACATATGCATATCCTCGTCATAAATGTCATCATGTAAGAATATCAAAGTTAGTTATTTTCAAAATATATTATATTATCATGCACGCGCGCGCGCACGATCTAATTGGTATTTATTAAATACCTTCTTCTCTTATTAGTCGCAAAAAAAAGTTTTCTTCTAAGCAACATACAATGTGTAACTTTATTAGGGACTACTGATATTTATTATAATACGTCTTCCGATAAAGTGTGCCAAGCTGTTGACTCAATGACAAGAGTGATTAAAAGTAATTCTGGACAGAGGAACAAGTTTATCGAAGGTCTAGACTTTGCATCGATCGTAGACTGGACGAGTGAGCTTAGACCAAGTATGAAAAAGCTGCGCCAGGCTATGGATGGGCTTCTTAAAACTGCGAGGCTCACGCATTCGGTATTCCGTGTTCAAGAAGATGCAAAGACGGCTCAACGTGCTTGTAACGTCAGATATAGACGGGATGTTTGCTTCAGTCAGGCAGTACATTTATTAATCAACATATTATTATTATTATTATTATTATTATTATTATTATTATTATTATTATTATTTTGTATACATATCAACAATAAATGGCATATTATTGAAATTATTTTCAGCTAACATCGTTAGTATCTAGTATTATGGCAAAACTATGGTGTCAAAGGCCTGATCCAATGTTTCTATTAATTTTAACGACACTCGGACCTCTGGTTTCTTTCGAGGGACTTCTCAGTTATTACGGTGATGAGATTGATATGTGGGGAGACATGGCAGTTGCTGTTGAGGATATGCATACCGTTACATTTACTTTATCTAGACGTGGTATTCAGCCTAGGTAATAAATGATACTTCTAATAAACAATTATTTCTTTTTTAAATTGTTAAATGAAAAATGTTCTTTTATTTTGTACAGAATCGAAGGCTTTCAACTTCCATTACCTTGCGTAGTTGGTTCTCGAACTGCGTTAACGGTGATACTTCCAGTACCAGATGCTATATATTCGTTGTTGCCATTAGTACCTTCTTCCAGACAAACATTATCCTTCAACGTTACACCTGTATTCTTCAATATAGGTATTAACGAAATGGCATCGTTGGCTGAAAGTCTTGGTACTACTAAACCTCAAGAAAAAAGTAATATTGATAATTTTGATAGACTGAATGAATATTATTTGAGATTTAGAAAACTCAATTTGCCTACAGAACCAGCATCTACACGGCGTAAGTGTATCTCTACCCATTAAGATATGCTTGTAATTTATTAGTTAATAAGTTCGTTTATTTTATTTTATAGTTGGTACAAAATCTGCATTGAGTCATACATTGGCAGACATGATGTTAAATTTAAAAACAGCAGTTCACGCTAAAGTCAATAAAAATGTCGAAATATTGCAATTATCATCGCAAATATGTCGACGAATGCGCGGTTTGAGATTTACCAGTTGCAAAAGTGCCAAAGATCGAACTGGCATGTCGATCACGTTAGAACAGGTAAACATACTCTCGACGGAGTATCATTTAGCCGAACATGAATTTACGAGAGCACTCGATTGTATGCGAAGGTAAATACAATAGTATAAACAACTTTGTGTTCATTGAATTCGTAGATTATCTTATAACTCTACTTTGTGTTTATCTCATTCTAGTGAAGGATGCCGACGAGAAAACACGTGGAAGAACATCGGAGTACGAAAATACGCATTCAACAGTCTACAAATATTAACCTTTCCAAAATTGTATCGACCACCAACCGGAACCTATGGATCAGCACAAACTTAAGATAAGTGTTACAACAATATACATATATATACAAATTTTTAAAATTATTTTTGTTCTTTTTTGTTGAATGATCTTTTTGATCAGGACTTGCCAATTAATTTATAATTTAATGCCAGGTGACTAATAACTAATTCATAGACACACATACATAAAAATACGCATACTCCTGTGTCGGTAGATATCAAATTTAGCGATTAAATGAAGTATGTGTTTTTAAAGGAGATTTCAACGAACGATTAAACGTAGCTGTGTTTACCTGTTAACTTAAAAAAAAAAAAATAACAAAGAATACTAAACGATCATATGTATTTACTCAACTTTCTTCTACCACGATTTTTCACTTCTTGTTGTTTACAAATTGTGCTATACATGCTATATAAAAACTGTGTTTTCAGAGAGTACCGTTTTATAAGAGAGTTGAGTGTGTACAGAAGAAAAATGGTCGATCAGGATTATTCTTTTAGTGCCATCTTTTTATTTTGTTTATTTTTTTTTTGTTATTCTTTAAAAAAATAGTGCGAAGATCGGTGCAACAAGATTTTGCGAATGATTAATTTGTTAAGGGGAAAAAAAAACATATTTATTGCACGATGTACATAATTTCGTCGTCGACGCGAGCATAATCCATGAAGAAAGATTTGTTTTGAAATATTTAATGATAGAAAAAAAACAAATTAGACTCGTCTACCACAAGAACTGTTGTTTAAAACAGGGCTTCTCAAATTGTTTCCATTTAGCGATCCCCTAAATTATTATTCATAATAATTTTGTTTAGTTATACGCGACCTCACGTATGGGAATCGCTACACACACACACACTTCCAGAAGCTCTGGTTTAAAAAAAAGAACAATTTTCAATGAAATTAATTAGGTCAATCTAAGCGCTTCCTTTTACAGAACGATCGATCGAATAACAAATTCGTCGTGATAATAAATTATTGCAGATAGAGCTCAAGTTTTATATATTATTACGTTGAATTGTATATTTGTATATTATTATTATTATTATTTTTTTATTGTTCTTCGGTTGAAATATTGTTTGAAAAAATGTCCGAGTAACGACGAGATATTTCGTTATTATAAACAATACTCTCGTACGTGATAAAATATGAATGAAATTAATCGAAAATGATAAATTCACTAATTTAGGCAACACATTCCGTACGAACGTGCATGACAACAAAATTCATAACACTGGGTGTTCTGATAAATGATTTTCATTCAAAAAAATGATTCATAATTAATAATATATTATACGTATATTAGTAGGAGATTAAAAGAATTATAATTAAGTTATATAATAAATGCTCTTTTGTTTGTCAATGAAGATAGTTTGTTAATTTATAGAAAACGAAAAAGAGAAATTTATAATATTTAACAAAAATTCAAATTGACCAGTTAAGATTGGCGATCTGTGCGCAGAGTAGTGCGCTCCGATGTATATCGCGATAATCAAGCGATGACGGATATAGTCGTCAAACATAGAGTAAATGGCGCTGTTAAAATATTGGATAGTCAAAAAGACGACTTTATTTTAGAAAATGAACAATTTTGTTAGTAATGTACACACACAGTTTCTTAATATGAACATATATTTATAGATAACAAACGGGAAAATTAGAGAAAAAATCGAATATTTAATAGAAGTTAAAAAATTTATTCTTGACTTTTTTTTTTTGACCTCTAAACATTTTAAACATATTAAACAATTTACGAATATAATTTAGTTTTACGCCAAAATTACAATTTAAACATCAAATTGTAACAAACTTTTACGCATGACGGATATAGTCGTCAAACACGCTTAATTGGTTAATAAAATATATTAATATAAAATAATAATAATAATAGTAATAACAATAATAATAATAAATAATATTAATAATAATAATCGGTGAAGCACGTTGTCTCAGGAATCATCTCATTAGAAAAATGATCAAATATCAATCATTTCTACGTATGTCAAAGTGTCAACTAAATAATAATCGAACAAATTATAAAAATAGTTGAAAGAAAATCTGTATTTTCAAATAAATACAAAAACACATTTGTCGTTCATACACACCGAGATGATTCATTCGTGTTACTTTAAGAAACAAATCGTATTGGGATCTCTGGCAGGGGCGTGGCTTAGCAATTCGACCTATCTACTCTAATTTTGAATTTAGCCACCAGATAGCGTATTCAAGTGCTAGAGATCNTAATTTTGAATTTAGCCACCAGATAGCGTATTCAAGTGCTAGAGATCCCCCACGTGGCAAAGCAATGAGCCTTTTTCCTGAAGTACGAAAAATTACTCACTAGCAGCGCTAGTAGTTCGGTAGGGACAAACACTGTCAGAGCTCCATTTAAACACATAGTAAAGTGGATTTATAAAAAACATGTTTTTGACCGAAGACGACGTTCCTGGAGCAAAATTAAAATTTGCAACCGTAAAAGACAATAATGTTGTCACATTAAAACGTTGGCTTGCGTGGCTTAACTTAAAAGTTACCGGAAAAAAATGAATTAATTGACAGGTTACTATACAAACTCTAGTAAAAAACTAGCGGTAACGATTTAGTTGTTTAAATTTACAATACATTAATTGGATCCATGTTGTTGTTATTTTTGAAATAGAACTCATACTCACACCAAACCGACAACTTAAATCGTACAATAAAAAACCACATCTTAATCTCACAAGAGTTAAAAAAAAGTTGATTTTTTAACGATAATACTTTAAATTGCTTTATCGTTATGCGGTTATTAGTTCCTGATTGTGAGTGCCAGATCCTCAGTGATGATTCAGTTGGCGGTCCTAAGAAATTCCACACAATATCAAAATCTTCTGGCATAAGACCTGTATAAAACTTAAACTTCTTACTGTCATTTATACATGATTCATAGTTAAGGGTAGATGCACTTAATTTTTTCGTAAGTGTGTCAATTTCATTTTTTCACAAAAATACTTTCAACTTCTATACAAGTTTGACTTTCTGCATGAGCTACATATTGATTGGTGTGTTCTTTGTCACTTGGTGGTGGTTCAGTAACTTTAGGAGTTAAATAGTCGTCTACTGAAATATCTTGAGTATCATTTTGTTGACTTGAAATAAAAGAATCTGAATTAGCATCTTTGCCTCTTTTTGATTTTTGGTCTGGACTGCACAGAGAATCAATTGTTGATGTTGAAAGTCGTTTTTTTCGTGCCCTTGGTATCTGTAAAAATTATAAATTTGTTACTATAAAACGTTTTTCAAACAGATAAAATTATTTTTAATTTATTTATTATTCCAGTAATAAAATTGCCAATTATTTATGACTTTAACTCTGACAGACATTAATTAATTTTCGAGCTTAAGAAATCAATAAAATTTCATGAATAAATTTATTTTTACTCCAATTGCAAATATTCCTTTTCAGATAAATTTTATTATTACTTATTTTGCTAATCATTGCAGAAACAGGATCAGGATTTTCTACAGTTGGACCTTTTCCACCGATAAAATGTTTTGAGCACACATATGAATATTTATTAATTTTTTCTACTGTTAAATCCACTCTCCTTGACGCATGTATCCATTTATTGCATCTAACCTCGTCAATATGAGGTTTTACAAATGGTATAAAAAAACAAATTTTCCTCTGGATAGCGATAACCCGACGTACACCTCGCAAAACTACAATGTTTTGTTGGTAGTGGTTATTAAAAAAATTTTTTTGTGTTTAAATATTATTTTTAAATAATAAAATAATGTAGCGTAAATAACACTGTCTTAAATGAAGATATTTTATGTTTGTCCCTACTACGAGTGCTGCCTTTCGTGACACGTTCGCTGTACTACTCTCAGGAAAAAGGCTTATTCGACCTATCTGCTCTAATTTTGAATTTAGCTACCAGATAGAGTATTCAAGTGCTAGAGATCCTAATAGGATTCGTGAATAAGAACAAAATTATGATTTTTTTTTTTTTAGTATTTATTTAGATCTGTTAACAAAAATAAAATAGAAAATTAAAAAAAAAAGAAATAAGGAAACAAAATATTATAGGACGCGTATAAACGATCATTTCTCGTAATTTAAAAACAAAAAAAAAACAAACAAATTGTATCAAACGTTACAAGATTAGATGCTCGTATAGATACACACACACACGCACACACACATAAATACATACATTACGTACGTATACATATTTAAATATTAACGTTAAAAATAAAATTGAAGAAAAAAAATAAATAAAAACAAACAAAACTGTACGCCGGAACGTGAATTGTTTTTAAATATATATTGTTATATATTAGTCAATATACGAATTTTTGTAAGAAAAAAAAAACTTAACATTTTCCCTAAACAAAAGAGCAACTCGTGTAATACGAAAAACGCAATTGTAACATGTATATGTATAGGTTGTTAAATTCGTGATAGAAATTTAGGAGAACGAATTATATTATATATATATATATATATATATATATAATATATAATACGATATATATAATATTAATACGAATTAATTATATATATATATAATATAATACTATATATACTATACGTAAATCTCAAATTCGCACTTAAAAACAAACAAACAAAAATTATATATGTAAAGATGAATTATAAGAACGATTAATTATTAAAAAAAAAAATTCAAAGAAAAACAAAATGTGGTAACTACCCTTAAAAAACAAACAAACAAACAGTCTGTAGAAAAAATTGTAAAACGATTAAATAAAATATTATTTAAGGGATGTGTCATCAAGTTTAATATCATCAAGAGTGACTAAGAAAAAAAAAAAAATAAAGGAAAAAAATGTTAGAGAAAAAGTTGGAGAAAAATGTGAACAAAAATCTGAGATATTTTGGAGCAGGTAAAAGTGTAGAAAATAAAATAAGAAAAAGGAGGGTTTGTAGGAAAGCTCGCTTACCAGCTGCCAATCTAGAAAACGGTTGTTGTTGATCTGTATAAAGGGAATAGAACCAGGTCGCGGCTTGAACCGGCTTTTATAAGGGCATCGATGTCCGATAGAGAGATGCCTGTGAGAGATGTCGAAGAAAGAGAGATGCATTTGCAGTCTGTCGTGTGCCATTGGGCGTAGTAGGAAGGGCGTCTGTAGGAAGGGAGCATATGAGAGTAGGGATCTCCTACGGTTGAACAAGCATACGGCGCGTGGCAAAAGATTCCTGTTTAACATCGGGGTATGCCGTTCATCCATCCTCTTATACACAACTTCAATATCACATGTATACACATACACACGTATTGCACGTGGACCAAGTTACGTGTAAAGTTGGCTCTACACAAGAAACTCGTTTACCGTTTGGGGGTAGATTTTTTTCTCCTGCTCTTCTTTTTCTTCTTTGATCGAACCCTTGAAGCGTGCGCCTCGGTTATAACACCCTTCCTCTTCTTTTTCTTTTAGCTCACACTTTCATTATTTTACGTTTTAATAGATCGTATTACCAATTGTTCAAACACATAGAAGAAGAATGTTTAATTCGTTTGGTAATGGTTATATCAATGAAACCTTTTAAGTTTTTGATATAAGATACACCAAGTTTTTCTTTTACTAAAGTAACCAACAGTTGTGTTTCTGTTATACGATAGTTCAGCTCTACCAACTTTTCGAATTATTCTATCCAATGAGTCGAATTATTCCTAATTTTTCGTTGTTTTTTAGACGATCATATTTGTGGCTCATTTAACAAACTATTTTGTATGCTTCTTCTTTATAATAAGTCTTCTATATTATTTTAAAGAATATATTTGTATATTATATTCTTGCATATATATTTAATTTGTTAAAAATATTATTTTACCTTTAGTTTAAACAAAAAGTAAAAGATGTATAATTTTCTTTTATATTTTACCTGCGGCACAAACGATTACCTGTATAATGAAGCTGCTTGTTTCCTCTCTCTCTCTCTCTCTCTCTCTCTTTCTCTTTCTTTGTGCATCTTCTCCTTTCCTCCTTGCATCCACCGCACGAGCGAGAACCGGGGGCCATCGATGTCGCGTGGCGTGCGCGTGGAACTCTGCTAGCAAGATAAAAATAAAAATAAAAAGGAGATCAAAATAAAGAAAAAAAAGAAAGAAAAGAAAATATCGATTAATACATATACACACATATAGAAAAATATCAAATAAAATTATTTAATAAAAAAAAAAAAAAATATATCTGAAAAACTATTGAAAAACTTAGTAATAATATTAAAAATAGGCAAAAAAACAAAAAGTTTGTAGATTTATTTCAATGTTCAAAGGATTTATTATACGGTTAATTTAAATAATGTTATTTTCGAGTACGTAAGGGGGCAGCAAATCGTAGGAGGGTGAAGCTGACCTTAGAAAGCACAGGGGCAGAATGAAACGAAGCATAGAAAAGAGGAAGAGTAGTAGTAGTAGTGGTAGTGGTAGTGGTAGTGGTAGTAATAGGTAGTAATGGTGGTGGTGGTGATGGTGGTGGCGGTGTTGGAGAAAAAAGAAGAAGAAAAAGAAGGAGAAGCGTGTACACGCGCGAAAGTAAGAGGCAAGCGAGAGGACAGAACGATGTATACCTGGGACGCCTGGTGTTCGCCAACACCTGCTCCACATCGGTATCCCCCAATGCCTTTGTCCAGCCAACGGATATAACACACGCGTACCTCGTCGAAGAGACGCCAGTAAGTCTTTGAAAGTCCAGGAAAACGGACACGCGTGTAGAGTCCTTAGTTTCCATTATTTATAACACAAGATTCGCATACACATTGTGGTGGTCCATGACATAAATATTGATCATTTAACAAACACGTGTATTTTTTCTTACTTTATAATATTCATTAGATTATTATAGACACAAGATTCAATACAATTTTGTATATTTTGTGATCTATGATATCGATCATTTAATGAATGATCAATCTTATATTCGTAATTGGTATCAACGATTAATATAGAGAGTGATTATCGGACTTGAAACTTCTTTTCAATGAAACAAATTTCAAGAAACAATATGTTGACTCTGTGTTTATTAGTCATTTTTATGTTGAATGACACTATTGGTGCTAGTACGGTGCCTATGAATAATGAAAATCTCGAAAATTTAGTGAAATCATTGAAAGAACAAGTTAACGCACTTCTTTATCATCGTCAGGAGGATTACAATGCTTTGGAGGAAAGTTTGAAACATGCCATCGAGAAAAATACAGAGTTGATTGTACTCAGGAAAGAAGTTGAGTTATTGAGGTGAGAATTTACTTGTTATTTTTCTTTTTTTTCGAGATCGTAACTCTTTCCAATTTAACGTGTACGATCGATAGAACGAACACACTCGGTAACAAAGCAAACGGGCAAGCAAGCTCACGTTGATTTTTTATTTTCTTCAATGGTGTCATAGTATATAAGGCTCGTATATTCATAGAATATAAAGAGAACAAGAGGGAAATTAAAAAAAGGGAAAATAAATATCGAATAAATCGATAGATAGAAATTGCAAGATAAAAATAACAATAAAAACGAATGTTACCGGTAATAAATGTTTTTTCTATAGACAGATATACGACCTTTTATGTTCATTATTATTTAATTGTTCTTTGAATAAAATATCTAATGCAATATGCACATACTTGATTAATAATTTACAAGTAGTTCGAGTCACTAGGGATAGAAAGATAAAAATAGATAGATAAATATAGAAAAAGAAATGATAAAACATTAAAAAAAAAAAAACCTTTTATATAGTTAACAAATTAGGAAAGCAAAGAAAATTTGATCATTTATTTTATTGTTACGATCGTTACAGGAAAGAAGTAACCGAGTTGAAAGGCGGAAGCGGTAACGAGGCGAAAAACGAGCGTTTGAGGGTGAGATGGTTGGGTAGTGCGGTAACCGAATTGCAAACCGAAGTTGCCGAAGTTCTAAGAACGAGAAATGCTAGCGAAGAATTAGCTGAGAGATCAAGGATGAGAAGCGAATTGTCCCTTTTAAAAGGTGACGTAGCTGAGGTCGGAAGAGGTATTCGTAATCTTGGTGGTCGCATTGCCAAGTTTGAAGCTGCCCTGGGAACAATTCGCATCGACATTACTGCCGTAAAGGAACGTGCCAGCAAACTGTCCCGCACCTGCGCCGATGTCGCTAGTCAGGTAATAATATTGAAGATTAAAAAAAAAACAAGAAAACATACTATTTATACATAGAAATATACGATCCGCGAAGGGACACACACGTTTATCGCATGCGTAAACATAAAAGGGGGTACACGTTGACGCATCAACGTGTTTAGTAGTTATCATCCGAAGGAGAAGAAAGTAAAAAAAAACCGGGAAAAACACAGTAAGAAAAAAGTAATAATAATACAAAAATGAAGAAAAAAAAAAGTAAAGGAAAAGAAAAGAAAAGAAAGAGACGCAGAGATGCACCTGCCGCGTTAGTCGTACAGCCGGCAACCGGTGGCTCCCTATTTCTGTTTCTCGTTTTACCGGCCGGCAGCTGCCGGCGTTGGCTCTTCGGTTATATCGGGGCCCCTTCATTCCGGCGTTCCATTCGTTTGGCAGCATCGGTCCTCCTCCCCCTTACAGGCCCTGATACCACCTCCCTCTTCACATCCTACCAATGTTCATAAATACAACACGGACTCGGTATATGTCGTGGTTCGTTGCGCTCCTTCAACAAAAGCAGATGTTTCGTATTTCTTTATTTTCTTTTTTTCTTTTTTTCGGTTTGCCTTCCAGTTATCATTGGTCCCTTTTTTTCATACACATTCCAGGCTTCTTATTATCTTCCATTTGTATATTTTATTTAATTAATTAATTTCTTGTTTTGTTTAGATTGGTACCGTGCAAATCGAATTGAAATCATTGAAATGTGATACACCAAGCGATCATAAGTTCCATCGGTTTTCCGTCCATCGACACGAGGACAAGGCACGCGAGGACAACGAGATTAAGAATGAAGTTCTACTACACGAAAGTAGAAGGAGGCATAGTTATACAAAACCTTTGATGATGCATCGTATCGAGGAACGTCTCACCAATCTGGAACATAAAATCTCGTTAGTATCGAGGAAACGTGGAATGATCGAACAAAGAGTTGTATATGAAAATCAGGAATATTTGGTCGGACGTGTAGCTAATTTAGAAACGGCTCAGGGACAATTATATTTGCATATGAAAAATATTAGCAAAGAATTATCCTCGACGAGTAAACTAAGCGAAACAATGGTCGAATTGTTTGAAACTGTTCAGGGATTGGAGGACAAGGTAGATGCTAATGGATCGGATACTAAAAGAGAAATCGCGAGATTGGATATTAATGCTGCGAGAAAGGCAGCTGAATTGTCGTTGACTAGGGAAGAATTATCTAATCTTCGAAGAGCTGTACAAGCTTTGAGTGTTAGTGCTTCTAAGCTTCAAGAAAGAAGCGATAAGCATCAGATATCTCTAGACATGCTTAACGATACCCTCAATCGTCTTGACTTATCGTCGTCTATAGAAAAAGCAAGCAACATAACTCACGAGCTCGAGCAGGTAGAAGATCAGTATCGTTTGATCGTCGATGCCTTACCAGGTAATTGTGATGAAAGAGATGGGCTTACTTTGCTTGCACCTGGACCAGGTGCACCGTTACTAGCCTCGTGTCATAAAGGGTGGATTGTTATCTCAAGGCGGATCGACGGTATGGTCGAATTCGATCGAACTTGGAACGATTATGCAGCAGGTTTTGGTTCACCTGTTAATGAATTTTGGATAGGTAATGAAGCACTTCATAGACTTACTCGAGACAACTGCAGCAGGTTGAAAATCGATTTAATGGATATATATGGTACACATTGGCATGCTGAATACGAATATTTCAATGTTGATTCTGAAGAATCCGGTTATAAACTCCACGTTTCCGGTTATTCCGGAAATGCAACCGACGCATTGTCCTATCAGAACAATATGGCCTTCAGTGCTAAGGACAGAGACATGGATATTAGTTCCACTGATTGCGCTGCTAATTATCACGGTGGATGGTGGTTCAGTCATTGTCAACATGCTAATTTAAATGGTAAATACTCGTTAGGGCTTACTTGGTTTAAGTCTAACACGAACGAGTGGATGGCCATTGCTTCCTCCGAAATGGCAATACAAAGAAAACAAAACTGCCGATAATTTTCTTCGATTCATTCTTTATGTCTTTTTAATCGCTATTGAAATTCAACAATTTATTATTATCAATCGTCTTTATCTTTGTTTGTATATTTTATTTCTTCGATCAAATTGAATCTACAGAACATTGTAGATCAACAGACGACGTTATTTTCGCGTGCTTGCAAAAAGACTGGAAATATTCATTTAATTAATATCACTTGCAAGAAATTTTATTATTCGCGATTATAATACCAAAGAATCATTTTAAGTCCATTGTAAATAGATTTATTGTATAATTAAATGCGTGTGATACCAGACGATATATTAGAACGTAATAGAAAGTTTTTCAACAGGATCAGAGTTATCAATCTGATGCTATAATTTAAAACAAATATATATATATATATATATAAGAATTTGTAATTTAAATAAATTGAATACACAATTAAGATGTTTAATAATATAGGTTTACAAACAAATAACAACTTTAAAAGATTCATATCAACATGATTCAGGTATTTAAAAAATGTTTTTATTATTTATTCTTGTATAAAAGAGTTTGTCCCATAACACCTTGTTAACAAACCCATTTATCTTACCACCTTTTAAGAGTCTACAGTGTTTTAAAACGGTCACCCATTAAATTACCAATATGCCCATAATTGCTTAAATTTAAATAGTATAGAAACTAATTTTGTCAAGAAAATAAAGCTGTAGACTAAATATTTAGAATATAATTTTTAGAATATAATTTTAGAAAATAATATATTTTAAAACACTTGCAGAATTTTATTATTGCTGATCTTACTTTTACGAAGAAGTAATTTTTTTAATTGATTTAGGAGTATGTTCCACTTTGCATTTTTTTGTATGATTATAAAGAGAACTATAATGTTTATATTTAGATCCACATACATGGCAACGGAATGCTTTATTTATGGTATGCGTAAAAGAATGCTGGCTCAAATATCTTTCCTTCGTAAAAGTTTTTTCGCATATTTTACATGGATACTTAATTTCTCCCGTATGAATTTTTAAATGTCTAATTAATTCACTGTGAGATACGAACAACACGTCGTTGCATACCTGACATGTAAAATTTTCTTTGTTGGCATTCCTCTTCTTGCAACCTATTAGAACAAATTGGAACAAATAAAATCTATTTTTTAATTTATAAATTTTACTATAAATATTGCATAGATATTCGTCTTAAATATCAATGTATTAATATATGAGAATAAAGTCTGGATTTTATGTTAAACTGCATACTACAACTTATACATTTAAATAATTTCAAGTTTTTTACCTCTTTTCTTGCTTTCTTTGATTATATGAAATCTGCAATGCTTAAGAAACTCTTCTATGTATAGAAATTCCTTTAGACAAAAATGACACTTCAAAATCTTGTCTTTATTCTTTAAACGATCACTTTTTCTGCTACCATTTATTCCAGATCTTTTTAACTTCTTTTTTAATTTCAACTTATTACTAGTTTTGAAAGTATCTTGACTATCTGCAGAATTTGAAACTACATCATCTGAATGCCTCAAATTATCAAATCCATTGTTATCTTGTATATGACGATCATCATCATTATTGTAATGTGTATTGAAATCATTTTCATCCGTTATTTCCTCAGTTTTTATAAATACATAACCATAATCCATTTGCAGTGTCTCACTGGTTATGTCCGTTTGTACTTGAGCGTTCTAAAATCATTCTCTGTAATATATAGGTCAACAACACAAACAAATATTTTCGTTAAATACCTGATATATTTTAATTTTGCTTAAAGTATCGTCATAGTTAAAATCCATTTTATAATGAGCGCGTAATAAACAGTCAAATATTTTACATTTTTCTCGAAATTCGTTAAATGATTTTAATTTTCCAAAACATACTGTGCATAATAACTTAGGCAATGCATCGTTATTTGTTATCTAAAAAATATAACGATGATACAAAAATAAATTTAGTACGTAATTTTGATACGAAATATAAATAATTTAATATTAATTTAAAATATATATTCACCTTTATTGAAAAACAATCAAAAATAATTGAACATAATTTTTCATTCTCTAAAGAAACCACATTCAACATATTTTCTTCCTTTTGAAGGCATAACCTACATACATTCTCCATTTTTATTTTTATGTCGAAATTTTCTGATCAATTAATTGTAACTTTTAGAAATTTTAATTGTATCTTCATAAATATTATATAAGATTTTTATTTCTATATAAAAAAAGATAATTATAAACATTTAGTAGTAACCTTTCGAATAAAAATACTTAAATGGCGCGAAAAATGTTGACAATAAATAAGCATAACAAAACACATGTCTTTTACTTAAATATGAAATCCAAATTTCATAAATATCTGCAATGATATATATTAATACTCTTTTTATTTATACGATAAATATATTAACAATTCTTCAGTTCTATATAAAAATAAATAATACAATACATATCACATATAGGACAGACAAACACTAAACCGTTTCACTAATAACATATAATACAATATAGATAGTTAACTTTAAAAGAAACGCCAGAAATAGTGGTGCCACCTACACGTGACAAAATGTATACTACATTTAAAAATGTTAAATATATACATTTATATATAAATAAGAAGTAAAAAATAAGTTATAAAACGAGTAAATAATGATTGAAGATATGTACGCGCGTGTATTATTAATTATTGAATTGTTAAAAAAAAAGTTTAATCTCGTTTACAAAGATAGTCGATTAAATGCAAACGAGGTATTATTCATAAACCAATGAGATTCCTTGATGCCATACGATACGCCGTACTTGCAACTACTTGCAACACTATATGGATTTTCTTATTTCGATATACGTCAATTTCACCGAACAACGTCATATTATTAGTAAATTATTTCATAATCTTTATTTATTTGATTTATAATAATATTAATGGACTATAATTATTATTATATTTAAACATAATAATAATATTGCTAACGGAAGTACGTAAATTGGTGAAGCGATATCAAAACGCCATTTTGTGTGTCCTTTCAAGCGAGGAAGGTAGTCTTCTATACATAGAAAGATAAAAATACTTAAATCTTGTATTTAAGTATTCTATCTATTCGCGATATTAGCGGGTGGATATTATTTCTTCTTCTTTATTTCACTACGATATAATTAAACTGCGTTGATGATTGGGATTCCGCGAGACGACCGACATAAAATCACGGTTAAAATCCGCAACAACATGAAAAGAAGTTCGAGTCGTGATACTCCACCTCCTCGGGTGAAACGAAGTCGATCTTCCATGGGAAGGTAAGCGTTATTTATTTATCTATTTCATTGTAAATTCATCGTTACATTTGTCATATATGCTCGCAAATATATGACAAAGCATTTTTATTCATGATCTTCGTTATCGTTTAATTATAATTTAATATTTATAATATACACATTAAATTATGATGGTATGTAATTAAAATTTATTTTATAGATTTATATTAGGTATATGCGATTTTAGTACAATAAGATATTTATTATATATATATATATATATATATATATATTGTATTGAAACATTATTGATTTTATGAATTATTATTATTTTTAGATAAATATGAGAATCATGTGTCATTGTAATGTTTGTTATTTAATCTGTAATAGATAGTATAATATTCTTATCAATTTATAGATATGATGATTCAAGTGATGAACGGATTACGCCTGAACGTATTCGACGACGTAGCAGAGGTGCAAGAAGTCCTAGTCCATCAGCAAGAGCGTCATCTCATGCGCGTTATGTAGAGTCCAGTTCACATCGCGACGAATATTTGCGTGCACCTCGAGATTTACCACCTGAACGACCATACAGTTATAAAGTTCTTTGTGTCAGTTCCATTCACCCAAAAGCCAGTGATGAAGTAATTAAAGATACTTTGTATAGAGAATATAAAAAGTTTGGTGATTTTTCTATAAGAATTTCTCATGAATTAGATGAACGCGTTGCTTATGTGTGCTTCAGGAGCTCAGAAGATGCACGAGATGCAAAACATGCTAAACCACGAATTATAATGTATGATAAAGTAGCTTTGGTAGAGCCAGTTTATGAAAGACCCGATACGTATCGTAGGCAAAGATCTGTTTCACCACCAGATTATGAACGGTATTATGCTAGATCTCCAGGTCCAACGGATAGACATAGACCATTAGATCGATATGAACGTGTATATGGGCCTCCTGTAGGTTTGCCACCCCATCGTGAAATGAGAAGAGAAACGATACCACCACCTCACCACGAATTTGTTAGGCCACCCATTCATCACGGACCGCCTCATGTACATCCTGGTCCTCCTCATCATTATGGTCCACCTAGACATATGATGCTTCGTCATCCTGTTCATGGATTTGAACGAGTTGAAAACAAGAAAGATAAATTTCCCAATTATCTCCATCACGTTTCTCCAGAAGATGACCCTCTTGCAACTAGGACTCTTTTTGCTGGTAATTTGGAAATTAATATAACTGAGGATGAATTACGTAGAATCTTTAGTAAATACGGCGTTGTTGATGATATCGATATCAAAAGACCACCGCCAGGAACAGGAAATGCATATGCTTTCGTCCGATTCCAAACATTAGATATGGCTCATAGATGCAAAGTTGAACTTTCTGGGCAATATATAGGAAAGTTTCAATGCAAGATAGGATATGGTAAGGCAACTCCTACAACACGAATATGGGTTGGTGGTTTGGGTCCTTGGACTTCGGTACCTCAATTAGAAAGAGAATTCGACAGATTTGGAGCCATTAAAAAAATTGATTATCTTAAAAGCGAAAGTAATGCATATATCCTTTATGACTCCATTGATGCAGCACAAGCTGCTGTAAAAGAGATGCGTGGTTTTCCTCTCGGTGGTCCTGAACGAAGATTAAGAGTTGATTTTGCAGATGTAACTCCTGGTTTTGGTTTTAAGCCCAGATCATATCCAGAAGACAATGCTGAGTTTCGACCACGTTTAGTAGACTATGAATCACCATATGATCCTTATGGTCCTGAAACTGAATTTGGTTATGGACCAAGAGGTTTTCGAGGACGAGGAAGTGCACCATGGCACGAAAGAAGAGGTGGTGGCAGAGGTGGTTACCGTGGTACTGTTCCAGATGGTTATATCCGTGAGGAAGCAGATTGGTCCAGTCGCAGACCACTTCCAGAGCTAGAATACGAACCTCCTCGGGCAAGAAGATCAATGTCACGAGAACCTGGTGTAGATCGATCAAGATCTAGATCACCACGTAGAAGACAAATGGATTCAGATTCAGATTCGGAAAATACTCGTACAGGAATGCTCTCAACGTCTCGTACTTTACCAGAAGTTGCACGAAAATCTATTGCAGTTTGGCAAGGTGCATTAATATTAAAGAATTCACTATTTCCAGCTAAATTTCATCTTACAGATGGAGATACTGAAATAATAGATGCTCTTATGAAGGATGAAGAAGGTAAACATATGCTTAGAATAACACAACGTCTTCGTCTCGATCAACCAAAGTTAGATGATGTATCGAAAAGAATACAAACTTCTAGTTCACACGCGATATTTCTTGGTCTTGCCGGATCAAGCGGAGCTATTACAAACGATGATGCTAATGTTCAAACTAGACCGCTTCGTAATTTGGTTTCATATTTAAAACAAAAAGAGGCAGCCGGTGTTATATCACTTTTAAATAAAGATACAGAAGGAACTGGAGTACTCTATGCATTTCCACCGTGTGCGTTTTCTACAGAGCTCCTGAAGCGTACGTGTCCTAGTTTAAGCGAAGAAGGTTTAAAAGAGGATCATTTGGTAATTGTTGTTGTTAAAGGTGGTAGTGCCTAAATTTTAATTTGGAGTAACACAAACAATTGCTTAATTCATGAGTAACAAACAAAATCATTTCATTATTTTAATACTTCCTGCAGTGAAGTATTATTCTGATTTAATTGGTAAAATGATTAGAGAAGAATGATGTACAGAAGTTGTAGCAATGATCGATGCTTTTTGATCCATATAAGTATTATTATTATTATTATCATCATCATAGATTTAATTGAATCATTTTGTACTATCATTTATTTGTTAATATGATTTTTAAAACAACTCTATTTGCTTATACAGTTAATATCTTTTAATTATTAATATTTTCATTTTCACAAATGTAGATAATATATGAAATAGAAATATTTGAATCCGTCTAAATACTTAAGTCTATAATAATATAAAATTTATTAAATAACTAAAATATATTGAAGCACAAGTTGGAACAATTTTAATGGATTCTAAATATGAATTATAAATAATAGTATATTATTATTATTATTACTATTATTATTATTATTATTATTATTATTATTATTATTATTATTATTATTATTATTATTATTATTATTATATATATATATATCTCACAAAAAAAAAGAAAAGAAAAGATCAAAGTATATACATCAAAAAAAATATTAAAGAATAATACTTATATTGTATCAAAAAACATTATTAATAGCGCGTTTAATTGATGGAACTCAGAAATTTTAAAGTGGATGCATAAAATGAAGTACATCATTAATAAGGTACCTTTACTATAAGAGTCTTGACAAAAAAAAAATAATATTATTACCCTTATAATCAGAGGTAAATGTTTAACTATATAGATATTATAAGAATTTATCTGTATTATACACACACATATATATATATATATATATATATGTATATGTATATACTCATTATATATATATATATATATATATCCGTATTTCCAACGATGATGACATTACTGTACACAGATCTTTCACATTTATAGCATATAATTTTATTATTCTTTTTAATATTATTCACAGAAAAAAAAGAAAAAAAAAATATAAGAACACAGTGACTTCCATATATTTATATATAAAATTCTTATTATTAAAAATATGTTTATATATTTAACAGGAATTGACTTTAAATGTCATTGATTGAGACAATAGAATGCAGATATAATTATAAACAGAAGAAATAATGTAGCTTCTTACTATTTGAGCCTAATGATATAAGTATTATATTTTTGTTTGATGAATTATTCATATTGCAATAATAATAATTATTGCTTACTCCAAAAAAAATCATTTTGATACAACGGTCAAATACATATTTAATGGGGGAAAAAAAAAATTAAAATGACACATGTTGCTGTATTTTCAACAGCTACATTAATAAATTCGTAAAGAGAACTTTTCTATTTCTCTTTTTGGAATTTATAGAAAAAAAAATGTGAAAGGCCTGGTTTTGAAAAAAAAAACAAACAAACAAAAAATGTGTTAGATAAGAAATATCATCGATATCATAGTATTATGAATTTTAGCTCACATTTCCATGAACTTGATC